GAGGCCTCAGCGTCTATACGAACAAGTGCGGCTAAGATCGTTCCCACGCTCGTTCAATTTTCCGTCTCACCGGTTAAGCTAGCGTCATCGTAGGCGTGCTCCAACCCTGCGAGCGACAATCTTGTCACGCAATTATCTCAAGAGGCGGCGTTCCCTCAATTATAACAGTGGCGACTCAACTATAACAGTGGCGACAGAGTTGGCGAACCATGACTGACGAATACGCAGATTTAAAACTGATGCTGCAGCAACAGCTTAAATTGATATCCGTGCTAACCGAAAGGCTTTCCAGTTCTTCCCTTCATGCAGGTCCGAGCGCCAATTCTGTCAGTGGACCAGGTGGTTAGCGGCATCAGCGAATTTCTGTACGACGCCAAGGCTGGGGTAACGTTCGAATCCTGGTACAAGCGGTACGAGGACCTGTTCACCGTTGACTTGGCTTGCCAGGACGACGCGTGGGAGGTCCGCCTGCTCCTGCGCAAACATGGTACCCTCGAACACCAGCGTTACACCAATTTCATCTTGCCGAGGAACCCACGGGACGTTACCTTTGACGACACGGTCCGAACGTTGTCACAGATTTTTGGCGAGCAGTCCTCCATGTTCAATGCTCGTTACCAATGTCTGCAGCTGGTCAAACGTGATGCCGACGACTTCATCAAGTACGCGGGCGTGGTGAACCGTGAATGCCAACGTTTTCAACTTGGCTCGCTCACCGAGGACCAATTCAAATGCCTGATCTTCGTCTCTGGCCTCCAATCTCCACACGATGCCGATATCCGGACGCGCCTCCTGTCCAAGCTACAACAGGATGGATCAGTCACACTCCAGAACCTGGCCGAGGAGAGTCAAACGCTGCTCAACCTGAAGCACGATTCTGCCATGATCCAGAACGCCGCCGCACCTGGTATGGTCCAGGCAGTCACAGCACCGAGGGCGCAATCGTCCGCGCGCCCGACCCAATCAGACCGAGCGAAGTCCGCAAGCTCGCTCAATTATCCGCCTCATTGGCTAAGCCAGCGTCATCAGGACAGCGCAATTCCGTTCGAGTGGTCAGCTTAGCAAGCAATTATCGTAGGCGTGCCAGCGACCCTATTATCAGGCAATTACGCAATTATCTCAAGAGGCGGCGTTCCCTCAACCATAACACTTGCTCAGCTAAAACTGCCCCGAAGCGCATATTCGCGTACGTGAAGCGACGCCTGAAGTCTGCAGGTGATGTGCCGGTGCTAGTGGGTTCGGACGGACAACCCCTAAGTTCAAGCACCGAGCGTGCGTCCGCATTAGCGGCGCACTTCGCTTCTGTATTCGCAACTAACCAAACCTGCGCGCCAAGCTCTGCCGTCGCCGCACCGACTGAGCTAACCGACTTGATCTGCGACGTCGCGGAGGTACATGGGCTAGTCAGCTGCCTAGACAGCACGAAGCCAGCTGGACCGGATGGTCTCCATCCGCTGATCCTCAAGTCCTTGTCAGCTGTGATCTCACCTGCTGTAACCGACCTGTTCAACCGATCCCTGTCCATAGGCTGCGTGCCTTGTGACTGGAAATGCGCCGTTGTCAAACCGATTCCAAAAGGCGGTGACACACGCAAAGTGGAGAATTACCGCCCTATTTGTTTGACCGCAGTATTGTCGAAAGTTCTGGAGAAGATTGTGAAGAAGAGACTGCTCCAGCTACTGGAGACCAACTCTCTCCTGACGCTTGCAAAGCATGGTTTCGTGAGAGGTCGCTCGTGCATCATTAACCTGCTGCTAACATGGCATGAATGGTTGCAAGCAGTAAACCAACGTAAGTCAGTCGACGTGGTATGCGTCGATTTCAGTAAGGCCTTCGACAGAGTGAATCACGAGATCCTCCTTCAGAAACTGAGGGAGTGCGGAGTCGGAGGCTCGCTGCACCAATGGATCCGTGACTTCTTAGTTGGACGGAAGTGGAGGGTGCAAGTCGACAGCCACCTGACCGACTGGTACCCGTCGACGAGCGGCGTTCCTCAGGGGACGGTGCTTGGCCCCATTCTCTTCCTGATTCACATCAACGACGTGCCCAATCTCCTTTGGTCGCCGTGTGCCTTGTTCGCGGATGACCTGAAGCTATGGAGGGTGATCCATACGTCGGACGACTTTGACATACTTCAGCAGGACCTCGACCGCCTCTCCATGTGGTCCGCCGAAGTAAGTTTGCCTATCAACTCGGCAAAATCGCTACTTCTGTGCCTCGGTAAAGGTGGAGCGGGCCGATCGTACACTCTCGACGGCCAAGTTCTACACCCGACGCATTGCGTCAGAGACCTTGGCGTTATACAACGTTACGACATGAAGTCACTGGACAACACGGACAATATGTGTCGCACAGCATTGCGTTCGCTGTGGGCGATGAAACGTAGCTTCTGCACCTGGTCGAAAGAGATTGCCACTCGTCTCTTCAAATCCATTGTACGACCGGTGCCAGAATACGGCTCACCCGCCTACTGTCCGTTGACGAAAGGCGAGATACACAAGCTCGAAAGAGTACAACACATAGCCACACGGCTCATTCCCGGTCTTCAGGGTGTGCCGTATGAAGAAAGATGCAGACAATTGGGTCTGTATACTCTAGCCTACCGCCGCGTGCGAGTGGACCTCATCATGACCCATCGGGTATTGCATCTGGGTGCTTATCCGATGCTGAGGCCACTGCTCCATGTCCGTGCGTCAAGCAGCACACGAGGTCACCAGTACAAACTGGTAGTCCCTGACCTCAAGTGGGTAGCTCATTCCTTGTGTCTTGAGCGGCGAGTGAACATGTGGAACCGTTTGCCCTCGCGGATAGTAGAAGCGAATTCGGTGTCGGAATTCAAACGATTCCTGGACGCGCACTTTGCGGATGCCAAATCCGACGAAGCCTTCACAGGAAACTGACGAAGGAATCGTTCAATGATTATAACCCATGGAGCCCGTTAATCCACCAACTGCAGCTTCCGAAACGATGCCCATCCGTAATAGGCGGCGGAGCTGGTGAAGGACTCCATGTGCTTCATCCAAGAATATATCGTAAGTACATGGAGATTTTTTCTATGCTTGTAAATATTTTACTTTTTTCACCTGGGCTAGCTCACTACTACAGGTAACGCTGTGTCAGTGGGACATGTCCTACATTGAGATATAGCTACATAGATGTTCAACATCTTTCTCGTTATCATGACAGTAAAGTAAAGACAGTAAAGTAATTGGCGCAGTAGACAATATTGGTATAATTCTTCGGAAAAGACGCCAGTCGTCTTATTTGGTAGTGCATTTTGCTTGCGCACAAAAATGGAATATGATAGAAGAAATAGCGTAAGGCGTCTCAAATGACATTAGATATTGTCACGCGTCAGCACCTCTAGTCCTTACCTATAAGTGGTTTCTTTCTAACAAAACCGCACACCGTCAGCGCGAGTAACGGACAGGCTATCAATGAGTGACCGTCTTGGTGCCTATGGATGTCACAATGGGACATATTTGGGAGGATCTTCGGTCATTCTAAACAATCGGCATGACCTCATACTTCTAGTACCGAGTAGTAATGATTCAAGACTACTTCCGCTAGTCGTTGGCGGTATTTGCGAGCAATAATGTATTCGTTGTATATATTAGGGCTACGCTGCAGATGTTTTAAGTCACCAGAATTCGTCGCAAATGTAACATAGTGAGACGACCTAAGGCATAAGAAGCGGTAAATTCAGCGTACGAAAACCGGGAGCTAGTGTTATGCGAGATTACACCTGCTTGTGTAAGCAGTAGACCAAGGCAAACCGGATATATATATAAGTAACCAAAGGGGGCATTGCACGACGGTTCTGACATAGCATCTTAGTTTTTCTCCAGCGGCTCAACCTTTGAGTCCTTTTTATAGTGCGTGCGTCGGTCTCGCGACAACGCAGAGAACATTCGGCACACGCCCTCTATTCAGATCTGGTTTAACGTTACTGTCGCGTATCAACGGCTTTGCGTGGTGGTAGACAAGCGCATTTTGTTGAAGACCCATTGCAATTTCCAGACAGCGTGTGGCACGCGAAAAACGGGAACGAAAACACACCGCCGGATTAACATTGATCGATTAAGTTCAAGTTCCAGTTCGGATGGGACTGGAACGGACTGTTCAGACAAAATTGAAAGGAGGCTCCGAGAACTCGATTAATCTAAAAACAACACCCCAATCGCAACAAGGGCAACTAAATAGTACTCACAATCTGCACTAGTAGTCCCCGTTGTACCGGTCATGAAATAAGCAAGAGGAAGGAAAAGAAATCCTGAGTAAGGAAGATCAGTTGAGTCGAGAAAAGTACCAAGGCGCAGAAAAAGGTAAAAAGAAACGATTTCAATAAGATGATTGAGGTTGGTCAAGAGAAGGGAAAGGTTTCGTTTTACCACCCAAGAGCGTCCAACTGGCGCTCAAAACCCTAATCGTAGGTTCACTGACCACATTTTCTAGGAGCGAGTTCCGGTGCTCGATAACTCAGTACGATAACAGATTTTCCGCCCCAACGGGGCAGGTTCACTGCAAGTGCAGCTCGGTAAAATGACCGCAGACCAGATGGCATGGTATGATTATGATATCGACAAGTCCGGCGCAACCTCCTCAGGCAAAGTACATTATGTAACCAGGTCTTCTCGAAGTATGGGCTCGAAATACCTTGTCTCCGGAACCTCTATCTCAACCTAACAACTCTCATAAAACTTCACCAGCTCTACTTTGACACGGAGGAAGCAAGGCACACTAGCCTGGATGCAACATACCGAATGGGTACAAGGGGTTTAACAAAGATATCAACCATTAAGATTCCGAAGGAACGGCGTACTGTCCAAAACATGCGGTTTCAGTGTTTTTCCAGTTACAAGGTGAATGTATATTCGACTGTATGCGTAGAATCAGATTTCTTCATCCATTAATGGGCGACGCCTAAACCAGTCTGGCTAGATACACCGGGGATTTCAGTCGGACCGCACACTTCAAAAATGCAATGAGAACTGACCTACCGTTTTGCCAGCCCCGTCAAGGCCCAAAATTAGGATGGAATACTCATCCCTTTTGGAAAGACACGACCAAAGACCACTGAGCAAAGTGTACATCTCGAAGGTTGTCTAGGTCAGGACATGCCAGGTTCAAGGACGAAAACAGGCTCACGCCTAACGAGCGTCCGGTTTCTTGTACGGTCGAGCAAACCGGAGTACGTAACTCAGACTTCAAATGATCCAAAAATGTGTAGTGGTTCGGTTCGGCAGCTACTGTCTTATTTCTGGAGTTATTGAGGGAGGAAAACTATAAACGTGATAAAATCTTGAATCCTATCATGGGTAGGTATATAGTCAGAAATATTTATTAATATTTTTGTTGATGTTCCATCTGCTTCATATTTAACCATACTGTAGCACTCAGCACTTTAGGTACTTGTTTAATTTATTTTAAATTTACCTTTCTTATTTACTTCATCACAGATTGCTTTCCTGCTATATATTGATCATTGAACGTTCTTTTGCTTCCCAGAACGGTTATTACAAAACGTTTCCTTCCAGCCCGTGAATTACGGTTTACCCAAGCGAATCAGTGCCAGAACCACATATTTGCGGTGCGACACAGTCGCAGCACCGTTACCCCGCAAAACCTAGTGCGCACTAAGTAGTTAACGGTCATTTTATCGCCTGATTCCTGGCTATTTTTCTGCCTTTGCAGTTTTACTCGATGCTGTGCGAATGTGATATTGCATTTGTTTAAAGGTATCGGAAACCAAATACTCACCGTCACCCCTCAAAACCTAGTGCTAAATAAATACTTTATGGTCGTTTTATTGCATGATTCCCGGCTATCGTTCTGCCATTGCAGCTTCATTTATTTATGTGCAAAGGTAATATTGCAATTGTTTAAATGTGTCGGAAAGCAGATACGCGTTACGAAAAGTATTTTCGAATCCGGACTTCAAGACGTCTGATTTCCGGAGAAGCTTCCTTGGGCGTTCTTTTAACAGTTTTGATGAGTTGAATAGTTTGTTTTCAGACTTTATGCTTCTTCATCACGTCAATTTCGTACGTTACAGCAGCAGAAAGTGTAACGTGTCACGGGTGATGTACGACAGAGTCATTTATCGATGTGTCCGCTGCGTACGTCGCAAGTCAAAAAGTACAGGAACGCGACGTGTTTAGTAGGATTTTGCTTCGATTATTCCAAATCTTTCAGCTCACGTGATACTAACTGCCATGCTCGCGTTAACCTCATTAGAACGGGACTCAAACTAAAAGTCACAACGTTCGATCTGTCTCACAATCCCCCAGTTAACCGCTTTCTTTTTGAGCGACACCCCGTCAATCGCCGGCTGGCGGATGATGAGTTCAATCAACCCGTGGACCATTTCGGCTACAACACCCCAACAAGGGACACTTAGCTGTTATTCGAGCTTCGATTCGGAAAGTATATTACCAGCGATGATGTCCGCAGTGTTCGTCGTCAACCGCGACCTGGCGTTGAGCGTAAGCTTATTTCGATAGCATTTACTACCTGCAGTAATATTGCATCTGGTTATCCAGCCTATGGATGACGACGGAGTTGCGCGGACTATTTCTGTGGAAGGCTTTTGCACACACGTTTTATTCGCTCGGCATCAACAAATAGAACTGTTCCGCCGATTCTCGCATGTTGATTGTATAGACGCTACTCACGGTACTAACAATTTGAAGTAAGAATTGATAGCGGCCTTACTTGTTGCTTGCAACTTCAAACTACCCCAGTTTTTAATAACTGACGGCATGGGTTACGGCCGGCCATTGTTTTATGCATTTCTGCGTCGGGAAGGTTACGCATCATTGCTTACGTTGTTCGAGGCGTTTCGGGATATTATGGGTCACGATATTCCCGTCAGCACAATAATGATGGACAAAATGGCTGCTCAAATATGTGCAGCGCGCGGTTTTTCAACGCGACATTTTGTTGTGCTACTTCCACATCCATCAGGAAGCATGTAAGTGATAAATCTTTCGTTACAATCTGTAGAGAAACATTAACCGGTCGCGTTATCTGTTTCATCACATGGCAACTTCTGACACGGAGATTGAGTATAATATCTTTCCATATGTAATATTCTATTTTTAGATTTTAACAAGATTTATAGCTCCTTCAACAAGCAGACTCTCGGTTCGTGCGCTATCTTACGTTATACTGGTTGTACGTAAAAGGCACATGGGTGAAACACGCGCAAGCTGGACTTGTGCATTTTGGCAATACAACCAACAACCGAGTTGAGAATGCCAACTTGCGGTTGGAGAAAGTTTCCCAGGTATCGATTGTCCCTGTTGCAGCCGTTCGCAAAGTTTGGGTGCATTCGGAATTTCTCCTGAAAGAGTCCCAGTTGCATGCCGCGTTTTTCTTTGACAAGTTTCAGCTACTAGAAAGCAGCGCATACGTTCATCGCACAGTTTGCCTCTTAACTACGTACGCATGCAACTTAGTGATGCGCCATTTAGCACAACCCATGTTACAAGCAGTTTACTCGGACCTTGGAGATGGAGTGGTATGTGGATAAAATTGCTGACGCCTCTTTAGTTTGAAATATGTCATCAGGGAATCTGCTTCACAATCGATTGCTTCTTGGGAACGTGTTCTTCTCCTTTTTATGAAACCAGGTGGCTTCCGTGTGTGCATTTAATGACGGCATACAAGCAGCACGCGTATCCGACAAGTAAACCGTTTCTGATATGTGCATCCATTTACAGGCCAAATACCTATTTGCATTCACTGGCTGGCGGACTACAACCTACCGACAGAGTTCATACAGTTGCGGACGTTGAAAGTCTCCGTTACGAAACCATCCACGTCTAAAATTACACATCTTGTGCATCTTCTGAGAAGTGCTGGGCAGGTTAATCCACCCGCATTTTCGGAACTGTATCAAGAGCTTCTGCGAAGGACCAACGAAGTAATTGGTGATACATCAGGCTTTCAACCTGCAAAGAAGCAACCGCGTTGGCCGAAAAGTACGGCGCCAGTATATGCGTGTTTCACATGCTGCAAGTCATGTTGTAGTTGACGCAGTTCACTGTTCACGCAATCGGTTACTTTACCATCGAAAGTGCTTGCGTGTGCAACCAGGGGCCCGTTGTACAATTTGTGTCAACGCTTCAAAAGCGGCATCCGGGCCCATGACGGAAGTGTCTAGCCGTACTGCCGGTAAGAAAGCAAATTTTTACTCTGATATTGAGCTGTTGGCTGTTCACCTTCACCGAATTTCACAGTTGCGTCTACCCCATCAACTTGCCCCGCTTACGAAGGTAAGCGGCAGCTTGGTATAATAATTTCCTGCGCAGGCAGTCAGGATAACGTTATCGCCGACCCGAGTACAAGTCAACAATCCGCACCCCAACACGTGCGCCTGGAATTGCTGATCATTTTCCTTACCTTTCATAGATAGGTTGTCGAGAGGGAGCGGTCTGGCTCCCCTCAAGCAGTGGTATTATGCAGAATGGGATACCAAAGTAAGTTATTCTGTGCAATTTAAACTACCATGTTCACTTCACTGTAGCGTCGACATGGCTGCTAGCCTAGTAAAGAAAACGCTGAGAAGGAACAAATTTGTTCAGATAAAACACTCATTCAATTACCAGACAGTAGGCTATACGTTCGCACTACTATTACATTTTAGCCGATGAATACGACTTTGCCTGATGATTCCCTGCGTGGGACATGCGCGTCCAAGGCACGAAGATATTGAACAACGCTGAAGCTTTTCTCACTGCTTTCTGTTAAATAAAATGCACCGTTGTTACTGCGATTTCTGAGCTTCTTGTTAACAATTAACTGGACTAGCGGACCAGACTCATTCAGTGGCACATTTGGTGTCAACGTAATAGGACCCAGGTGCGTTGTAATCGCACACGGCTGCAAGGTTTGCGCTGCTTGTATATATGCTCCATCAGTGGAAAAATTGGTGTCAAGGTAATAGGACCCAGGTGGATTGTAATGGCACACGGCTCCAAGGCTCGCGGTCGTTGTACATAGACTCCATGTGGCACAGTTCATGTCAACGTAAGAAGACCCAGGTGCGTGGTAATCGCACATGGCTGCAAGTCTCGCGCTCCTTGTATATAGGCTCCATCAGTTGCACAATTTGTGTCAACGTACTAGGACCCAGGTGGGTTGTAATAGCACACGGCTGCAAGGCTGGTGCTCCTTGTATATAGGCTCCAGCAGTGCCACATATGGTGCAAATGTAATAAGACCCAGGTGGGTTGTAATAGCACAAGGCTTCAAGGCGGGCGCTCGTTGTATATAGGCTCCATCAGTGGCAAATTCACGGCCGAGGTAATTGGACCCAAGTGCGCTGTAACCTCATTTAACTCCGAGGATTGTGCTTGTAGTATAGAGGCTCCGACTGCAGCGCACTCTTGATATATGGTGAGATAGCATTAGCTAAAGCATACTACTTGAAGAAATGTCCTCCTAATGTAGTTTCGTTTGGACTAGTTTGTCATTCACAATTATTTAGGGTTTGTATTTATGGCTACTCCATTGCGTAATTTAAATTACTAGGTAGTATAGCGCTTCATGTTTACGATATTTTAACCATGAAACTTTCGATTCTGAAGTTCGTAGTGCTTTGGAAAATATTTTGAGTGACCAAAATATCGTCCATAAGGTGTACATTTTAACTGCTGAGGGACAAAAGTCTGGTCATTTAGGGAGTTACAACACTCACACGATGGAACACGTTTTCGCTGCTCTAGCGGAAGGGATGCATATTCCGTCAACGTTACGCGGTAATCGAGTACAGACTTGAAAGTACGTACTACCACATTGCCGAATTATTCGTCATGCATGCTGCTCTAAATATCACTTGCGCTGACAGAAAATACGGTTAAAAAGAAAGATTTTACGCACTAAACAACGCCGATAATGATTTAGAACATTATTTAACACCATCCATGGACCTATAAAGACATTTATCTTCATCTCTTTTTGACTCGCGGCGATTGGCCAAAAGCGTGCTTTAAAGGAAGTGCTCGCTTTCCATATGTATGAAGAAAATGAAAATTCATAGTTACCATAATTCTGCATAATTTTCTTATCATTTCACAAAATCTTTGCTGTTAAAGAAGCCACTTAAATTGTCTGCTATGACGTATCAACAGCTACGAAACTCACAAACCCCTAGTTTTACATATTTCATTATATT